GAAAACTTGTTCAAAAGAATGCTTGTGAAGCTACCCAAAAAGTGACAAGATATAAGTAAAGAAAACAGTATAACTTGGATTAGTCAATTCGGAAGATTCATTTAAATTCTTATTTTTTCATTTTTCTTACACTTGGCTACGGATATTTCAATCTGTCCAATAATTTGTTAAGCAATACTATTTCTGCTTTGTTAGAGAAATATACAATTTACTTAAATAAGTACGACAATAATTATATTCCAAGTTTGTGTTAAATCAAATATAGAATCTTTTGATGGAAGATTGAGATACATAAATGTAGTAACAGTATAAACCACTATGGCGAAAGAGATACAACGTTTCGTTAGAGCAATCTGGGTCATTCTGTTTCCAGATGATACTTACGACTAATCCATAAATCAACCCTGCTTGAGTAGTATGCAAGTTTCTGTTCCAGTTACATAAATAATTTTGTCGCCTTCGTTTCTTACATGAAAGCAAATGCAATTAAAGGTCTTGTACTACAATAAGAAGTGATCTCTGTATTCTTCATTAGAAAGACATGTCAAGTTTGCTGCCAGGCAGTTTGTATAGGCTTCGGGGCTTTTGTGATAGTGTTTGCTAATGCGTGCTATTTCTTATTTAACATGTAATGTTCCAGTGTTTTTATCGATTTGTATGTTCAGTATACAAGTCTATAAGATTCTTTGTAGTATTTTGTTCTACCATCTTCTAATAATCTTTAACTCCTTAACCTACGATTTACGTTCGAGAGTGCCCGTAATATTTACGTTTGGCTCGATCATCGTACTACGGGTTATGCCCTTAGTTGTGGTTAAGGGGTTGATAAATAGACTGTGATTGTTTTATGCAGTTTTATAGTTTTATGAAAGCAGTTAGAGAAATGGTACCTATATATAGAGATTTGTTCTACATATAAATAACGTAATGAATACATTGCTTTAGACATTTTATATATTTTTGTACATTATATACATTCCTATTAGATAAAAGTATTTTTTATGCCTGATTTATTAATTAATATTACAAAAATAAACAAGTTTTTAATTGTGTGCTTGCTATTATCGATTCTTCTCCTCTTTCTCCTTGTATGTTTGTAAACGTATAGTAAAATTTATAATATTTATTTATATTTATGTTATTGCCAATGAATTACATAGTAGGTAATTTCCTCTTATCATCGGTATTTTAATTTTCTTTTTTTTATGGCGGTATATGACACCATGCTTTAATGAACTTTCTCCTGTAAATCACGTTTTTATCTTTGATCTTAATTAACTGAATTCTGGATTCCAATAAAAAAAAAAAATGAATTGTGAAATTATATTATGAAAATAAATGATGTCAATTCGTTTATACATATATTTACGTATAGCAAGTATAAAAATCAAAGTAAAAATATTCAAACTTCTAATTTATAATCCAATAATTTGAGAGTATAATATTCTTTTCATTTTTTTGTATCGTTTATTAATTAATTAAATTGAATTTCTCTCTCTCTCTCCCTCTCTCTCTCTTTCCTCCTTCTCCTCATCCTCCTCCCTGTTGTCAGCCGTTTTAATAATAGAAATATATTTGTTTTCTATGTTCTTTCTAAGGGAGGTATAATGTACTAAAATAAAAACCAATTTTACTGAAAATAAATTCATTTATCATTTAATTAGTTAATTACATTGTAAAGTACAACATTGTTTACATACATACATTTTATAACATCAAATCTAATTATATTTTGTTTAAAAACAATATTTACTACCTGAATATAATAAAATACAAGCAACGATGGTAATACTCCTTCGTTCATAAATATGTTTCTTTATATCAACCACGATTCAAGTCGAAATTCCTTTTCAACGTTTTATTAATTTCGAATTAATTTCAATTTACATGCTTTATAACACGATAAATCTATTTTCATTAATTAAACTCGTTTAGCTCGAAATGGGCTGAACTTGTACTTCTTTACCCACAATTACCTCTTTCTTGAACACGTTTGATGCTTCAGACGTGAAAATAAGTAAAATTAATTCAAATTATTGCACACGCTATAACATCAAATTGCCTGGAAATTGTACGTGGCTTGAGTAACGGTAGTATTTTACTCCAAATAAAGAACAACGTAGGTGTGCTCGCATAAATTTTATACCGAGTTTCAGTGAAATTACCCAGGAAAGTTAACAATTACAAAATACTAATAAACTTTTGAGCCCAAAATTGCGCTACTATATGTATACCATGTACATTTCAGTATATTGCTAAGCATCTAAAGCTAAATATGGAAATTGTTAAATGTACGTGAAAATTAAAAATAGATGGTACAATAGTTTCTATTCAGATAATAAAAAAGTTTCATGGTTACGACTAAAAAGTTGCTTCGTTAATTCTATTATATAGATTTAGATTTAGTAATAATTTTATAACTTTTTTATCTAATTAATCTTTCATTAAGAAACATTTTTGAGTTATGGAACTGTGTTAATATAAAATGACGAGATAAATTATTCAGATGAAATAAAATTGTACAAACTACAAATTTTAATCTTCATAATTCAGATTAAATAGTATTCATATATTTAGAAAATGTTTAAAAGTGTAGAACATTTCCACAGACAGAAACAATCGTTCTAAACAAAAACAACAAATTAATCCACATTAATAAACTTTTAATGTTCAAAAATATTTTTTAATCTAATGTTTTTATTAGAAGGTAAAAACAAAGAAAAACGAAAGGAATCTGTTCATGAAATTAATGTAAATTGATAAAAATCTAAAGATAACTTTTTTTATGTAAGTAATTCTTATTGTAAAATTTATCTCGATATATATAAAAATAAAAACAAGATGACAATAGAATGTAAACCTACATTTCTACGTTAGGATAAAACAATAATAATAAAGGAAGTATAATAACGAACGTTTATTTACTCAGATCTAGAGATCCTATCATTAGCAAAATTAATGATTTACCAAATCCATCAATTCTAAATTATAAAAGTTATAAATACAAAGAAATTTATAAAAAAGACACGAGAAAATTACAATTGAATTATACAACGAATTTGACTGTTATTAATTTATAAATCTGAAGAATTTCATTCGATTCAAATTATTAATATTAATAAAAATTTCATTGCGTGTATTAGCAAAATCCTTAAACGATAGATTATTAACTAATTGTAATGTGTAATTTCGACGGCATATAGATAGATTTTTAATAAATTCCTTAGAATTCCTTCTTTTTCGCAATTACATATTCCAACTTGATTCCTCGATGAAATTTATAATTTTGAAAACTTCCACTTTCACGACACGCGTTTAAGTTAAATCATTAACACAGTCGAACATTTTATTTTGCCCGCAATTACATCCTTGCCGGAGGCTAGACGAGCGGTTCGCGACTGGAACGTTATAACGGGTACATTCGAGAAATCACAGATGCTCTTGCCCGCACCAATTATCGCACTCGCGATGCACGGAGTGGCTTTCTCGTCGGTTCTACAATCGTGACAGTCCAACCGAGCAATTTCTCCGAAATAATTATCTCAAACTATCTGGAACGTTTCTCGGTGACCTAACACGATGACTCGAGGGAGAGCAGCAGCTCTTTCGCTTTCGAGCAAAGCTCGGTTCTCGATTGGTGAGAGAAAACACGCAACAAAAAGATGCTCTGCAACTACACTGCTGCCGAGTAACTATACTAATAAAGCATTTACCCGGCGTTGTCCGGTAAAAGAAGGCGGGTGCTACTTAAACGAGAGGGCTAGCTCCGTTAATTAGCCGTTAGAAAGTGGCTCAAAGGCGTCATTTCGTTTGAGTAGCGTCACCCTAGTGTGTCGGCGAGCAACTCGAGCGAAAACTCGAGCTTCTTCGGGTACAGGCCCGCTCGATACCTCGGCGCAGAGGATTCAAAGCTGTACAGAGACGCTCGTTAAACCTTCTCCTTCTCAACGACTAGTATCTTTGCTAAGTAGAAAACGTAAACGGCGTAGATCGGTTGAAAACGCTTTCTGGTTATTTAAACCGGCTGCTTAGAGATCGCACTCATTTCCGCTTCGTAAATAATTAGGATTCCTCTTTTGATAATACCAGACAGGGCTTCTGTGGTGCAAAAGGAAATTTCAAGGAAGATAATAAGCTGGAAATGCTCCAGCTTTCGTCTATAGGTCTTGCTGGAATTAATTTCTTTGTCTGCGGTCTGTCGAAACTTTAATGTTTTAGATTGCGCTTTGTATTTGGAATTTGCCCGATGACTTGAAATTATTGCACCAGCATCCTCTTGCACAAGATCATTCCCTTGCTCGACTATTTACTATAATCAGAAATTACTATTCTTAAGTTATATCTTCTTCCTCAATTATTTTATATCAAAATACTTCTTTTTGACCGCCAAGTGACATAAAAGTCGGAAAAGTAACAAAAATGAATTTATCACGTTTTTCCTGTACGGGGAAAATACATTTTTATTTGTGCGTTTATATAGTTTGAGTCAATAGGAATTGCTAACTGACATAACTCGTTGTCTATTGACTTTCTAAAAAATGTTTAAAATGAAATTTATTGTATTCGAGCAGACTTATCGGATGAATGCATCTTGATGTTTCGATGCCCTGCATTTTCTGAAATATCAAGCTGATCTTGAGTTTTTTGTATAACAATATTTTATATAACTACAAAGGGAAACGAAAATTTATGGTAATAAATAAGTGAGTAACGTTGTTGCTATATATATGGAAGGTATATTACGTACACATTTAATACATTAGACTTTCATTTAGATATTTAACTTCATTAAATTGGCAGTATTAATAAAATTAGACAGTATAATACCTATAGAATCTGGTAAATATTATTAATATTTAGAATATTATAATACACAATATGTAAAATTTAATAAATATCACCATTATGATAACTTCTGACTTGGAAAATTTTGTTAATATCGTTAGTTCTGTTTTGCAAGAGAATTACAGACTTTCTACGTTGGTAAATACACGGCTTCATGTACAAATTGTAAGTTATATAGGGTGGTTGGTAACTGGTGGCACAAGCGGAAAGGGGGTGATTCTACGCGAAAAAAGAAGTCGAAAATATAGAAAAAGATTTTTTTTTTAATTTTTCCATCGAGACAACGATCTACAGTGAGATCCGATACGCGTGAGAACGAGACGCGATAAAGTGCACGCGTACCGAGCGAAAATTCAAAGTCGATTTTCTCGAAAACAAAGCCTCGAACGAAAAATTTTTATTCTATATTTTTGACTTCTTTTTTCGCGTAGAATCACCCCCATTCCGTTTGTACCACCAACCACCCTGTAGATTTTGTTTTTATCATGTTATAGTCTGACGTGAAATAGATTAGAGGATCTGTACAATTTATACAATTCACTCGTAAAATTTCCCTTAATTTAATACCTGATTCGTTACTGCTATGTGATGTATGTAAGATAATTTATTAGTACCGACAATATGTCTTGTAAAATTTCATTAATAGCGAAGGAAATTGAATTAGCAGGGAAAAATGAACGGAACAGTTCGCTTTGATGAAACAATGGTTTCGACAAACAAGGAATCATATTTGGAATCTCGATTCACTAATCGGATCACGTCTTCTTCTTCTTTTAACAAGTTTCTTCAGAACTAAGATCGATTTCGGATTTTTATGTTTTGTTTTCACGCTACTTGAAAGCTTCTTATTTGTCGGAGATGAAAGGAAAACCGGAACCTTCCATTTGCAATTTTGGGAGAGTTCTCTAATGCTTGAGCCTAGATTTTATCATAGTTGTAATTAAGCAATTGTTGTCATTCGATCTGATCGTAATTGCTCGAGATTTGTGATAGCAAAATTGGGCTCGAGGTGACAACTGGTCGCCGAACGTAGCCACAGTCACGGGATGAACGTTTTGCCTGACGAAGGTGTGGAGCGGTTGTATGGTTCTCCCTAGAAATGTGGTTGTGGTGGCATACGGCCTCAAGAACGGGCCTGGCCACATGGGATTGTACTTTGGAGGTGTCGATATAATGGGACACACGTTGTATTGATAATTAAACTCCAGACAGAAACTGCCTAGCAACGGCGATTGGAACCTTCTCGATGCTTCCAACGAGCATATAACAAACAAAATGCAATCGTACAGCGAGAAAGATTTCCATCAGATTATTATTCGTGTGATCGCCTTGGAAAGTGACACATCGAGCAGTTTACCGAGCGTCTCAGCAATCGTATTTTTATGCCTAAAATTATTCTACGCATAGTAAAGAGTTATCCCGTTGAACCCAAGAACATTGTTAATTATTCGTTAAACTTATTATTCGTTAAACCTATTTATTCGTTAATCTTATTATTCGTTAAACTCAATATTCATTATACTTTGAAAAAAGTCTTGTATATACGCGTAAATATAATCTCTGTTTTGTAAAACGATGGCTAATTCAAACGAAGAATCGTTAGGCGCCCTAAATTCTAATGTTAACCCGACATATTGATGTTTCGCTCGTCCTTAATCACGTAAGTTTAAAACGATAAATTGGACGATGAAGAATTTAAAGAATTTAATATGTGAATGTTAGGTACTTGTTTGAAGAAAAGTATTCGTCAAACGCTTAATCAGTTAGTTATTTTTGACGAGTATACTCGTCGTGAAGAAATGGCAATATTTTCTAATAAAATTAAAATCAAAATTTTAAAAGTTCGATAGAAAATATTTAACTGATACCAAAAATTTAGATAACAATTTTAAACGATTATTGCGAAAGCACAAAATTTAAGCATAGTGTCAATAGCTGTTATGTACAGTTGCATAATAAGTTAATTAAATCATACAAATTGTATAGAGCTACATGAAAATGCAATAATCAGAAAACCATAAAAATTTAATCTTCTGTTACATAATATTCGCTCGTAACCACTTATTTCGTTATATTTACGAAAGGAAGAACAGCGAATTACTACGTTCAGCGAACGAATATTTCTAAATACGTAAATAACTTTAAGGAATCGTGCGATTTGATAAGAGAAATCCGTCGATAAGTGGTAAAAACGCCAATGATAGAAGAGAATGGTTTTACTGAAGAACATGGTCGTATTTATCTGAGTAAGGCTTCTGCTATCCAGTATAGTATGTAATGTACATAGGTACTTTTCACGTAACATACACCCGTTTAATTAGATTACGTGCTTAGGAAGATCGTATTTTCCGATTAACCGAGCTACGCTTTTTCTCTAAATCGATTTCCTGATGAAATTCAGCAATTTGCGCTAAGTATCTCTTGGAATCTCAAGATTAATGTCTTATTCCATTGAACTTTTGAGAAGAAAGAACGTACAAAAAGATTTGGAATAAAACTTTTTCATTTTTAAAATATCGCAAATTTTAGATTATAAAACATACCTAACCCTTTTTTATTTTCAATTATTTTATCATGGTAAACATATAATTTATTATTCCAATTGTAATTTTAGTTCTAATACAATTTAGTTCTATTTTAGTTCTCTATTAGTTAGTCTATTTAGTATTCTATTATATAGAGTCTATTTAGTATTTAGTTCTAATAAAATTTTAGTTCTAATCTTCTATCAATTTATCTCTACCCTATTAATTACCCCCCCCCCC